TATTAGAACAGACCGATAAGTTGACTCCAGTAATATATCTGTATACAAAACTAGGGAAGACAAGAATAAGGTTGAGCAAAAAAAGATGAGTTACTTTTCCACTAAAATCAACAATGCCAGTAACAAAACTAAAGAAACATGGAATATAATAAACAGCGAGTTGAGGAGAAAAAAATGTTATACTGATAATGTTATCGCTCACTCATGTCTGAGTTGTGGTGTACGTCCTCCTGCTATAACAGACCTTTTTTTCCCATCATTTTGCAAATTCTGTTAAAATTCCTATTTCCACACACTCAGGTCAAAACGCAATATTACCGATTACTGAATACCAGTTGTTAAACAAATATTTGACCTTATTGTAATTATGTATTAATCAACATCGATTTAGGAAAAATTCTTCCATAGAAATCGCAGCCTATGATTAACTCAGTAGCATACTCCGAAGTTGATGCCAATAATTTTGTAATAACTATATTTTTTTGATCTACAAACAGCATTTGACACTGTTTCAATAGATTTTCTATATATAAAGTTAGAGGCTTGGGTTTCTACATAACATACTGCCTTGGTTTAGGAGTTTCTCAGGGATCAGTACTAGGACCTTCATTTTTTGTGGTTTTTATTAATGATGTTGACAATTGTCACATAACTATGTAGATGATACCATAAAGGCCATCACTGGAAGATGTACTAACAAAAGTCAAAGAGGTTACTGGTGGATTTCATGATGTGAACGCAATCATTTAATATTGAATACCTCTAAATCTGCTTCAATGAAGTTTTATAACAGAAAAAATAACATTCCAGGTGGAGTTGCTAATACTGATGAAATAGTGATGTCACATGATGTGGAATTTCTATGTACCATGTTGAATAAATCTCTGAATTGGAAAATTGGGATCTGCATACTGATGGTGTTTTCAAGAAACATAATGCAGCATATTGTTTCTCAAGTATATATTTTGTAATGGCATATCCGCATGGCATATGTCATGGGGATGCGGTAGAAATTTTAATACAATATTTGTTGCCCAAAAACTCTAATTTTTTATATGGATTATCTTGATAGCTGCATTTTTATAATTAATTTATAGATAACATTTTCAATTCTCTTTTCTCTTAACCCATCTAAATATTTCGTTAATGTAGTTTTTCGTTGTATGAAAATTACTTTTCCTAATACTACAACTATCACAGTTTCAATTGTTGTGAAAATATGTACTCTCATCTTAATAATATGCAGTAGTACTCACTTTTGTGTTTGCAAAGTCTAGCTCTGTTTTTTCTTGGAGGTGGTTCATACTTCGGTAACAGTGACCTAGCCCTTCTTGCACGCAAAACCAAAGTCTCATTAAAAATGTTACAAAGTGTTTCTAACTTTGAAGTAGCACTGACTAATTTCATATTATTTTCATCTCTCTTATAAAAAAGCTCAGCAGGTGTTGATCGTGTCCAAATGTTTTTCTCTCTTTTTAATATGTCTTCAACAGATAAAGATGCAAGTTCTTGTAACTTATCGGAGAGATTTTTATCATTTCTGCAATAATTATTTCGCCATTTTGATAGTATTTGATCTCTTTCAGATACTTTACGAACATTTCTTTCAGAAGATGTTGGAGATGACTTTCGTGTTTGAGAAGTTCTTGGATTTTTCCTGTCATTACTTATGCTTATTCCATCGATATTAGTATTTCTGTTTCTGTCTGAACTACTATTTCGGCTCCTATGTGAATTTCGACTAGCAGAATCTGAAAAATTAAATATTTGCACTTTTAGTTAATGTAGATGTAACAATGTATTGAATGGTCGAAACAAATTGCTAGATTAAGTAATGAATAAAACTATGTGTAATGTTAGTGGAGAATATATTGTGTTAATTAAGGAGCATTCTTATCATTCAGCCATAACACTTGATGGAAAGCCTTTTCACTTTCTATTTCTCCGTCAATATATGAAGAATATTGGGGAATTTCCAAAGGAAGGAAGAGTAATATTAAATATATCAAAAAATCTTTATTTTTAAAATCTGTTTTTCCGTTAACCAGCTGTCGCACCCATACGAACGACAACCCTCAGAAGTCGAAACTTGTGCGAGCTAAGGACTAACGAGGTCTTATCTTATAACGTGTGATTCCTAACACGGGTTGGACGATAGCAAGTGAAAATCGATCTTTCAGTCTGGGGCTTGAACCAGCTACCAACACGGCGGTCGATTTAAGTGAGTGAACACGTCGAAAACGTCCGGCTACCGTCCGTATCAATAATAACTCTTTACGAAGTTGTATACAGTATGTACAGAAATCTATTTCAGATTCAAACCGAAAGAAAAAATCTATCCAAAAGAACTTCTTTTGATTATTTAATAAAAAAGGTGTCATATGAGATTGAGTGTTGGGAGTAGTTTAATTGAATAGAACTGGCCGATACTTGATGAAAATCCATATCAAAAAACTAAATAATACAGTTTATTGTATGATTTTCACTATAGTTTTACAAAAACCGCGACACGTGTTTCGCTATACAATAGCTTTCTTAAGCATAAACTGTAGTTTATGTCAAGTAGTTTAATCAAATATATGTATCTATATATATTCACAACATTTTATAAAACGCTGAACCCTGCCTGTGAAGCCATCAATTGCATATTTAATATCTGGTAGGACCGTAGCCTGGTGGGTTGACGTGGGTGGTTTGCTCGACTCAATCAATCGACCGCTGTGTGAACCGGAGGTTCGAACCGCAAGGCCGGACGATCGATTTTCACTTTCTATCGTCCAACACGTGCTAGGGATCACACGATAATAGGTAAGACCTCGTCAGTCCTTAGCTAGCACAAGTTTCGACTTTTGAAAGTTGTCGTTCGAAGGGGGGCGACAGCTAGTTAACGTGAAAATAGATTTTAACAGATAATAAAATTGAATTTTTATTCACAATGAAAAATAAAGACACATTTATTATTATTATTATGCAAATCAATGGTCATAATAATTTCGTTAGTGCTATTTAAATGTAACCAGAAACAAGTGTAAACATTTTCACAAATCCTGGGATTCTAAATAAATGAAGCTTTTCAGTTGGGATACAGCCTAGGTGTAACATGTTGATGTTGAAAGTTTCATTTTATAAATTTTGGTGTCAACTAGCTGATTTAATCCTAATTATAGGCAATGATCATACAATATATCATAACATCAATAAAGTTCACATCAGGAATAAAAACGATTTATATCAGTGTTTTATCGTATCACCCGAAAAGTAGCACTTTTTGACATGGACCTTTTGCAGTTACACCGTCTATATTTCAATATCAAAAAGGTTGATATTATTTAAATTCAATTAATGCTTTTCCATTTATAATTGAATTACAAATATTTACTGGCAGCAAAAACAATTGAACTCAATAACAATCATTAAGACACAAATAAATATTAGAAATTTATATTCAAAAACCATTAAAATCCCAATTCTGTCGTAAAGTCACTGGCAAAACATGACCAAATGTTGATTTCGGAGCTAACCAATCACATTTTCTCGTTTTCGTAAATACCAAACCCAGAGCGGACGAAACGGGGACAACAGACATGAATAATTGTATTTGTTATGCCCTGTTATGTGATGGAAATTAGCTGAGACAGAAACCTCGCGGATAGTCTGGTAGCTTGTATCAGGAAACTCTAACAATCACGTGACTGCTGCTGACCAATATGTTGAGGATACCATCCTGACAATCTCATGGTCTCCGAATTCAACTCACACGACCTCTGAGGAATTCAGAGGTCATTTACGACCCTAATGGCATAGCACCCGACAGATAATTTTTTAGACAGTTCTCTGGCATGTTCATTAAATTTCAGCACTGTATCTCCAAAATAGCAATACCTGGAAAGGTACAAGTTTGCATACAGATTTCTATCAGTGTTTGCAATAAGCTGCGGACTTACTCAGATTATTAAAGAGCCAACCAGGATTCTTTACATTGATTTATATCTAACAGCAATCCAGAAATTTACACAGCCACCATAAGGTTTCTATTGGGATCTTCTGACCACAAACTCATTTTAGTGTTGAGTGAATTACCGATAAATGTTGGGAAACAATCTAAACCGCGCAAAGTTTGGCATTACAGATCTGCTGAGTGGAAGGATAGGGTTGGGTTAGGTGGAAGAACAGATATCAGTCTGTACCTTCCAGTGCCGACTTTCAGTATTCGAGATTCAGTATGGCGACTGCCATACTGAATCTCGCCCATTTACTTTTTTTTAGTTCACATGTATGAATATAGCTGAAAATTAATAAAAGACCATTATTCAACACCTATTCCGAAATGTTTCCTGGCTACATGTTTGTTTCAGCTCTAAAGATCCATTCATTTGTGCTTCTGAAGTAACGGAAGTTATTCTATTATCCATGGTTCGATACATTCCTTTTTTAATGAAACGAGCTTGTAATGGCAAACCTTGGATCAACAAAAACCTCTCGCCTATCGGCAGTGGCGCAAAAATTCCAGTGCTGAAAACCGAACTAGGTTTGTTAATGCTCGCAACAGCAACAGCTGCTTACCAATCCCAATGGGTCTAGATCCTTCTGGTTGGTAGGTAAAGCTGTTGATCAAAACTTTACAAAATCCACAATTCCAGTACTAACACAAGCGGATGGTTCAGTTGCAACAACAGCCATAGAAAAATCAAATTTACTAGATGAACAATTTGCGTCCCACTACACAGTCGATTTTCTAGAAAAGGCACCACCCACTATTCCCACACTAGAATCCACAATGACGGAAATTACTTTTCGACGTCTAGGCAGGTGAATTTTAAAACAGCTCAATATCAACAAGGCGTCTGGTCCTGATGAAGTGCCCGTCATCGTACATAAAAAATGCGCAAATGAACTCGCACCAGTATTTAAGGTAAGTAATTGGATAAGGAACAATGCCGTATTGCTTAAAATCGCTTCGTAAATAAGCCATTATTTCTCAAGAATAAAAAATTGTTATTGTGGGTTATCCCTAAGAGATAGAAATATACCATCACGGACTTTTTTGTAGACTCAAGGTAGTGTATTAGGACCTTTACTATTTCTGATTTATATAAACGATATCAATTTCTTCAAAATATTCTTTCAAATCATATGGTTCCAGATTCAGAAGAAGTTGTTTCACTTTATTCTTGAAGACCCTATGCTGCCTGATAGACTTGAGACTGGTAATTTAATAAATATTCCTAGAGTTAGTCTGTGTATAGGGAAGTTAATATCAAGTGTTCGTGTATTATAGTAGGGATTCATGTAATTTTATTTTATGTGAAAACCTCCTTGTGCTTATGTAAAACTGTTGAACACTCTAATAGATATTGATATGAATCACTCTATTGAAAAAAACCCACCTCAAAATCTGTTGTGTAGTTTTAAAGGGACAGACAGGGTAAAGAGACTTTGTTTTATACTATGTAGTGAATACAAAGTTCGTGGGATAGCTTAGGATTTGATGAAGTCTTACAAGAAAGGAAACAGAAAGTAATAGTGCAAAGGATATGAATTCGTACATTAGAAATCAAACATAGGGCCCCTCACAGATATATACTTGCACTCTTCAATATGTTCTAATGATTTGATGAACTACTTGCACGAGAGTTCATGTAGTTGCATATGCAGATGTTACTACTTTCTTGGCACACCACAAAATTCAGTATATCTCTCAGTAATGGCGGAGAATGACTATAAGAGACTAATTACCTGGAGAAGAAAATCCTTCAATACTACACGTCAGCAAGACGTTGAACTTCTCATTGCAGAACACCATTGAGCACTTTGAAAAATTTGTTTATAGAAATGAGCTGGATGTAGTTTCTAAGCCTGCAACAAGTATGTTGACAGCCTGTGTAATAAACTCAGGGAAAACTGGTAATCCTTGAGATTTATGTCAAATCACTATGGTAAGGGAGAAATGTTAACGGTTCAGTAGTCATGCTACTATCTACGTTTTCATACTGCAAAAGTATGCTATTAGAAATATTCAACAAGTGGGTTGTTGAGAGACATGTGCAAATTCTTCTGACGTTCTTCTTGTTTTTTAATAAGAATATTTTATTCTAATCCTCACTTTTCAATGAAAGGAATGAATATTATTATTAGTATTTTAGGAGAAACCTTAACTATGATTATCTTCAAGAAGATGGGATCTTGATGGAATGTAGATACTAACCTTTCCATTTTTCCCCTCTCCCACTTCTGAAAGAGAAGCCGTGTTCATACTGATTATGATGTTTATTACTTTTAAGATGATCATCCCTGCTCCTGGATCTTCTCATTCTATTTTTTGGTGGAGTTCTTGATCTCCTGAAAAAAAATATAATTTTCGTATTGAGAATTTGTGAGAAAATTATTAAATTGTGATAAGCAACTTTTGGAACCTTCAACTTAATTATGAATTAATGGAATTTATATTGAGAAGAGATGAAAAAGCAAGTTATACTATTATCATCAAGGAGGTGGTAGTAAGTCACGTTA